TTTTGAGCTGGATATCCTTCGTCGTGAAGTTGAAATCTAATCTTGAGTAAGTTTCACCAAATTGGCTTTGAGTTGGATATCATTCGTTGTGAAGTTGAAATCCAATCTCAAGCTGTATTGCTACTTGCGGGCACAATATCCTTCGTCGTGAAGTTGAAATCGTGGATGTCTCATTCGTTGTAAAGTTGAGCTTTGAATTGGATATCCTTCGTTGTGAAGTTGAAATCCAAGGGTTGTTTTACCAAATTGGTTTTGAGTTAGATATCCTTCATCGTGAAGTTGAAATTCAATCTTGTGTAAGTTACATTGTTTCGAGTCCAATATCTTTCGCTGTGAAGTTGAAATTGACTCTGAATGAAACTGGAAAGTCATTTGTTGAGTCCAATATTTGTCACTGTGAAGTTGAAATTGACTTTGAATGAAACTGGAAAGTTGTTTGTTAAGTCTAATATCCTTCGTTGTGAAGTTGAAATTGACTCTGAATAAAACTGGAAAGTTGTTTGTTGAGTCCAATATTCTTCGCTGTGAAGTTGAAATTGACTCTGAATGAAACTGGAAAGTTGTTTGTTGAGTCCAATATTCTTCGTTGTGAAGTTGAAATTGACTCTGAATGAAACTAGAAAGTTGTTTATTGAGTCCAATATACTTCATTGTGAAGTTGAAATTAACTATAAAAGATGCAAAAAAATTTGTATGCAAAAAATGATGAATGTGGCGCTCTTAAGTATGTCTAAGATGCATGCAATATGAATTAGCTCTTGTTTTATCTCCTGAGTGAAGTCTCGTGCTTTGTCTGCCGATTTGGTCCTTAGAATTGATCATGCCCCATTTTCTTCTCAGGTTGTTGACAATGTCACAAGTTCTATCTGGTCTGTCGGACTTATTTTCAAGAATGTGAAATGCTTAAAGTTTGGCCATGTTTATTCTTTCTTTAATAGGGGCAAAATGAGTCTCAACAGCTTCAAGGACTTTTCACATTTGAGATTGTTCTGTTTGAAAATGCTTTTCTCATTTCTCTTATTTTAGAAGGAAAGAAAAAAGATTTAAAAATGTAAGAATTCTGTAAAACATTGCCCCTTAATCCGGGCTCACAATCGAATCAAATCATAAACATGAGTTCAAAGAATATCAAAAGAATCAATAGCTCTTTATCGCTTTTAGAGTTATAGCTCTTTGACAAATGTCCAAAATTGATGAGTTGGTTTTAGGTTGGCTTCCTGACTTCTAAGGTTTTGGCAACCAAAATGTTGTTTCTTTCTCAGTCATTTTGAACATCGTAACATACCCCCATTTCTTGGCTTGGCATTTTAATCGGATGAAGACAAACTGACGCAACTAGCATAATCAACTACTAGACCTTCTATTTCGGTCCTTTGAAATCCTCCACTTGTTCAAGCTTTGTAGACTCCACTAACAAAGGCAGTACCAAAATATCAGTCTAAAAATGAAATTCCTGAGTGCTCGTGTGAAATTGACTATAACAGGTGTTCCTTAACTCCCTTAGTTCATCTTTACCGAAACTTCTTATTTAGATAAATTTAATTTGCCATTGTCTGTCTAGCTAAATCCATAAAATCGGGGAGTTTAACCAATTGCTCTAGAGGGACAGCTCAATATATAAACACCTTTACCAGGCTAGCTAAATCTTATCCAAAACCAATTACTCTAGAGGGACGGTTCAAGCTTTATTGTATAAAGATTATAATCGCCTTTATAAGGCTAGCTGAATCTTATCCATAAAGCCGGGGCATTTAACCAATTGCTTTAAAGGGACAAGTTAAGTTTTATTGTTTATATAAAATATTATAATCTGGGTATACGGATCTAATTTATTAAGTTTGTCAAGAAGAACCTGTTATAGTCTAGGTGCTGTTAAAAGTCAAGGAATCTCATCTTTAGAGTTCAATTTCCAAGCAATTGACCTAAACTATATTCACGTACTCGACTAGTCTATCTGTGAAGATCATTTTCATCATCGAACGTCCTCAATAAAAGTATAGTAATGTCATACACAAGAGATGCCCCATGTTGTTCACTCCTATGTATATCTAATACCAAGCCACTTGTTCATTCTCTTATGAAAGGAGAAGGCTATATCAGTTCTTACAAGAAAAAGGTATGGTGTTCAAGTGTGTCTTTTAGGGTAAAACTAAAGGTCATTATTTGTTCATGTTACTTTGTCAAAGATCTATAACTCCAATCATTTACAAAGTTCTTAACTCAGTTGATATTTAAAGAATTTCAAGTTGTAAATTTGATTCAATGTTCAACATAAATTCACTTAAATATCCTTTAAAAAAGTTCAAAAAACACACAAGTTACAAAAGAATATGAGAAAGTTAAAAAAACAAAAAAGTCAAACAGGATGCTGCAAAATGGAATAAGGCCTCATTTGGATGCCCCGCTATTTGGATTAGAGCCTTCATCTTCACTTGTTGGGGCTCCTTTTGATGTACCCTCAGACGCATAAACTTCTGCTTCCTCTCGAGCAGCATCTTGAGAAGATCCTACTTTCTTGTGATTTATCAGCTTTTCCTTTCCTGGGTGGAAATTGGGCCCAAATTTAGATCCAAAACGATTTTTCTCGGTGGTGATAGTTTTGGTTGGATCCCGAACGCATATTGCATCTGTGATTGGTGTAATATTCGTCAAGCCTTCTGAGCTGCCCAGAACCTCTCTTGCCTTTAGGAAATCTGATATAGATGTTTGAGGTGTCTTCAAAGTTGCGTCTATCCCACTGATTCTTAAACCTACGGGCCAGTCTCGAACAACATTCATGGAAGCCCTTTTGCTTGGATTTCTATTTTGATCTTCTTGCGCCTTATGTGTTTCGCAGGAACCCTCTGTTGAAGCAGATTGAGGTATCTTCTTGGCTACATTTTCCCCATCCATTCTTAAACCTACAGGCCAGTCTCATATTACATTCATGGAGGCCCTTCTGCTTAAATTTCCCTTTTCATCCTTTTGCCTCTTATGTTATTCATATAAATTGTCTGTTGAATCGACGACTTCCGAGTTTTGGACCTTGATCCATTTTTCCTCTACCTTGCACCCCTAAATTGCTTATTCTAAAGAATCATAAAGGTTGCTATGAACCTTGACTGAATAATCTGGGGTTCCATCCTAATTTATCCAAGGAATCTCCTTGTAGGTCCACTTCTCATTCGGGGGCCACTATGGCTGAACATATGTAGCATCTCAACTTTAGGGCTAATGACTAAAATGTAAGTTCAGAAACTTTGGTGTCTGATTTTAAAAAATAGAAAAGTTCAAGGAATTAACTGGATAATTTTTATGTTGGATTTAAAAGTAAAGTTTGAAAGTAATAAGGGTATTATGGTCTTTTCTAAGAGAAGATTTTTATTTTCTCTTTAAAGGGGTATATATCCACGTGGGAGAGAGAAGGAGACCAAGTGAGTTCCAAGAGTCCTCTTCTTCTCCTTTCTTCTTCATGCGTGGAAGCCAAGAGCAAATGTGAGAATTCTTATTAGTAGATTATTAGTTAAAATTTAAGTTTTGTCGAAACGATTTTTAAAATGAAGAGTGCGAGATTTAGAAAACCACGTCATTTTTAATTTATCTCTTTTTGATTGAATTTTTAATTAAAAACAATGAGATTTTAGAAAAACTCTCATTTCGAAAAATTAGAAATTTCTTTACGATAAAACATCCCTAACGGAGTCGTCAAACTGTCGAAACGATTTTTAAGTGAGGGGAACGAGATTTTGAAAACCACATCAATTTTTAATTATTTTATTTATAATTGAATTTTAATTAAAAACAACAAGAATTGTAAAACCTATTGTTTCAAAAATTTGGAAATTCCCTTACAATAAAAACATATGGTTCGAGAAGTCATCACCAATCTTTATTTGGGTGTGATTGGGCACCCAAAAGCATTGTCATTTTATAAAATTTAATAAAACAACAAGTTTGCAGTCTACGTTACCAAAATCCAGGTTCGGGAGTCGGTTACGTATGGGGAAGGATTAGCACCCCCACAACGCCCTAAATCGGTACCTAGTCGATTAATTAAAATCTTTGCAACGAATTTCACAAGTTCGAATTTAATTTGATTTATGATCCCTTAAAACAACAAAAAATGCAAAATTTATAACATTCAAGAGCAACAAAGTAAATTAAATTAGGATTACCAAGCCATTAGAAAGATAAAGAACATTCGATTATTTAAAAATATCGTGACTAGATCTTTAGTTCAGTTCTAACGACCTTTTCTCAAAAAATTTAAATAGTCGAATATTTCCTTTTCTTTCGTTCCCAAATTTTACAGTGACAGATCCAAATTTAATTAGGCGTTACTGACGGGATACAATTTTAATTTAAAATTGTCAAAACAACTCTCTAGTAAGTTAGGAGAAGCCATTCCGACAGTTTCAAATTAAAAGAATATTACCTTTAATTCGATTATGTGATCAGGTTAAGTCATGCAAATGAGGCTAATATGCTTTAAACGTTACATCAAAATATGTACATACTAACAACATGCTCGGAATACTATATACATGCATACATTTAAAATAAACCTAAATTAAACTTACGAACATGCATAAAATATTAAACAAATGGGCTAAAATATAAAGAAAGTAACGACAGGCTCTTTTCATAAAAATTTCATTTCTAGGCACTCCAAACATAATACAACCAAAATACTACATAGGATCAAAATGAAAATTTCATAAATTACACATCCAATGTAAAATAATGGCTTAAAATAAACATAACCTAACATAGGACTAAAAAGGAACACGTTAAAAATTAAGATACGAAATTAAAATTACAACGAAATTCGGATCAGGGACCAAAATGAAATGGGTCGAAGCTACAATGGCATAACTGGATATTACCCCGTTTTCATAAAACGCAGACCCCCCAGCTATCAAAACGCCGCTGTTTCAACGCTGCCCAAAGCTACGTCGTTTTGACATATTAATATATGGGATACTAGGGTAAATTTAAAGCCTTGTCTTCATTTTCTCATCAGCCCTAAACAAATGAACCCTCGCCCCCAACCATTTTCCATTTTCTCTCAAACCAAACCCCCTTTGCAACCCTAAAAACCCAAGGCCTCCGCGACCTCCGCCGTTCAACGGCTCTGATGAGGAGTCACACAATCGTTAAATTTATCCCATAAACCTTGAACCCTAAAGCAATGATTCTCTCCTGACAGAACCCAAAACCTAAAGGGTTAAACTAATCAAAAACCTTACTTTTCACTGCCTTAGCCTCCCACAAACCTAGATCTACGATGGTAAAGCGTTTACCTTCAAGAAAAGAGGCGACTATACTCCGATGGACAAGGTTTTGGACACTATCGAGGGTAAAAATCCTTTTTCACTCTTGGATGTTCTCGGTTTTTTAAGAACTCGATACTCTTTTCCTCTTTGTTTTTGGTTGTGGATGGCTGCCGGCGGTTGATGGGTTTTGCTCTCTATTTGTTTTTTATCTTTGTTTCGATTTTCACTCGATGATAACTCGTGGGTTTTTTCGATGATGGCCAATCGTGCTCTTTTTTTTTTTTTTGTGATCCCCCTTCCCCGTTGTAACTGCTGGATCTTATATATCTTGCTTTTGTTTTTTTCTCAATTGTGTTTTGTCTTCTTGTTTTGTGTCTGCAGGGCATGGGTGCGAGCAAGAGCAGCATGGACGACGGTGGTTGTGACCTCGGTCTCGGTGGATGGCCGACAGGCGTGGATCTTCCTCGATAAGTTCATACACTGTCTCGGGTTCTCTGTGCACGCTGGCTTGAGGCTCGAGGAGGACTAGGAGCCGTTGGATTTCGTCAGATCCGACGGTGGTGGGCGGCGCTGGAACTTTGACCAGAACCCTAGTGGGCCTTTGATCTGGACCGTTAGATGAGAAACTGATCCAATGGTCCAGGGCCAGCGGCGGCTGGGCACTTGAAGCTGACACAGGAAAACTCTAATGGGTTTAGGGCTTACATCAAACAGGTTGCATCATTGGGCCGCTGTGGTTTGGGCTCTGCTCGGGCCAGTTTGGTCCAACTTGTTGTAATTTGGACTGTAACTAAAACAAATAAAACACTAATTAGTCTTTATTTATTTATTTATATATATATATATATAAATTCGCATGGACTACTAATATAAACCACATAGCATCTATGAATTCAAACACATAATTAATAATAACCTTAACTAACATCAATCTATAAACTTAATAATAACCAAAAATTAATCATAAGGATATGCATAAGGCATATCGGACAAAAAGAGCATCTACAAGTTTGATTTTAATTGTTAAGTGACACTTAAGATGAAGGAAATCTTAATTTGTCTTAAAATAGGGATTGTCTCCGAAAAGGCGGGTTAATATATGGCGTTATTAGATACATAATAATATATTTATAATATTCGGTTTAGCGCTATCGAAAATGTTGAGTAATAATAATGTAGTAGGTCTAAATTATGAAGAAATATTAAAAAATTTGGCAACCGGTAAACTTTGCTTGTCGGTTTGTGTCGATACAAATGAAAAATAGATTGTTCCATAGTAATATTACATGTATAAATATGACAAAATAGGTGCCAAAATGACAAAGTCGGTAAAACGCTATCGGATATGTGTCGAGTGTCGATAATTTAATATAAGTATCGAAACTTTCTGAGTTTAAAAGAGAAGAAGTTATAACGCCTATAAAGTGTCGATACTTTAAAAAAATATATCGATCCACAACAATATAACAGGTAAAAATATGATAAAACTTGTCTCAAAAATGACAAAACCGGAAAAAGTTATCGGATATATTAAAAGTGTCAATAATTTAATATTAGTATCGACACTTTCTGAATTTAAAAGAGAAGAAGTTATAGCGCCTAAAAAGTGTCGACACTTTATGAAAATGTATCGATCCTTACCAATATAACATGTAAAAAAATGATAAAACATGTCTAAAAAATGACAAAACCGGAAAAAGTTATCAGATATGTTAAAAGTGTCGATAATTTAATATAAGTATCGACACTTTCTGAATTTAAAAGAGAAAAAGTTATTGCGCTTAAAAAGTGTCAACACTTTATGAAAATATATCGATTCATAACAATATAACAGGTAAAAATATGGTAAAACAGATCTCAAAATTGACAAAACCAGTAAAACGCTACCGGATATATTGAAAGTGTCGATAATTTAATATAAGTATCGAAACTTTCTGAATTTAAAAGAGAAGAAGTTATAGCGCCTATAAAGTGTCGATACTTTAAAAAAATATATCAATTCACAACAATATAACAGATAAAAATATGATAAAACAAGTCCCAAAATTGACAAAACCAGTAAAACGATACCAGATATGTTGAAAGTGTCGATAATTTAATATAAGTATCGACACTTTCTGAAATTAAACTAAAAAGTGTCGACACTTTATGAAAATGTATCGATCATAACAATATAACAAGTAAAAATATGATAAAAATGGTCTCAAAAATGACAAAACCAGAAAAAGTTACCGGATATATTGAAAGTGTCGATAATTCAATATTAGTATCGACACTTTCTGAATTTAAAAGAGAAGAAGTTATAGCGCTTAAAAAGTGTCGACACTTTATTAAAATGTATCGATCCTTACCAATATAACAGGTCTCAAAAATGACAAAATCGGAAAAAGTTTCCGGATATGTTGAAAATGTCGATAATTTAATATAAGTATTGATACTTTCTGAATTTAAAAGAGAAGTTATAACGTTTATAAAGTGTTGACACTTTATGAAAATGTATCGATCCAGAACAATATAACAGGTAAAAATATAATAAAACCGGTCTCAAAATGACAAAACCGGTAAATAGATACCAGATATGTTAAAAGTGTCGATACTTTAATAAGTACACGTAATAAATTATCGATACTTTCAAAGAAATAGGTAAATATCCTATCGAAAGTATCGACACTTGACATAAAAGTATCGACACTTATGTAGTTGTATCGATTAAATATAAATAACATATCTGGTGTAAATATAAAGGCATAGCTATCCTCTGAAAATAGATAGAGTTTTTGAAATCGAAGCGTAATTGTTGTTGCATTTCAGAAGGCGTTTCTACGTGAAGTTTTGTTTGTTTGTTTGTTGCTGCAGTCGAATCGAAAGGTACGATGTTGAAACCCTAGTTTTTTATTATTACAGTAATGAGAAATAGGGTTTTTATGTGTTATTGTTTGGGGGGTTTCGAAGTAAAGAAGCATTTGGGACCGAATCGATACTTTTAGTTAATATTTATAGGTAAAAATGATATTATAGGTAGAAAATGATATTTTAGGTTGTATAAATGTGCTGACACTTGTTGTAGTGACCATTCAAATTCTTTTGAAGACCAACCGTTTTACCACAAAGAGTGGTTATTGATTTTTGTATATTGAATAAAGTGTATGTAAGCAATATTTGATTTGATTTGATTTGATTTGCGCAAACTGATATATGAAGGAAAAATGAAGTCAATGGGAGGAAAGCAACCAAAAGGTAGATATATGTACTTCTAGTAAGTATCAGTCTTTTTGTTATTATTGTTGAAATGGTAATTGGATTAAAACTTTAAACTGATTACAAATTTTAAATGTGGACAGTATGGCCGAATGCAAAAGGATGAAGAAAGATGGCACACAAAGCGGTTCGATATGTAAAATGAAATTGACATTGAGTATTATTTAGCGTTAATGTATTGATTAAGAAACATTTACGCTTAATATTAGGTGACAAAAGATGTGAGGTCGAAATGGAATTCGATGAGTGATGCCTAAAAGGAACATTACATCACATAGTCAAGGAATGATAGTAAAGAATACAAAGAACGGATGAAAGCACATGAAAAGAAGGTATTCATTAAACTTGTCATTGATACAAGATATATAAGAACAATAACATTATATATTGTTAAAAAATATAGGAAGTGTCGACAAGATGCAGCATAAAAAGGGTGAATTCATCAATTGAACACCTTAAAGAGAAGGATCAGTTGAATGTACTGAGGGAAATAGGGTTTAGATCATTGATAGGAGTAGGGGATCGACCAATTCGGAGGGAATTGTGTCGATCCTTGATGGAGCAATTTGATGTCAAACAATGTATTGCTAAATATGGTGATTATTCATTCCCTCTGGGGGTACCGACTGTTGCAACCGTCTTGGGGTACAAAACAATGGCAAAAGTGTTGTAGAAGTCTGTAGGAGTAAGAACTGGAAAGCACTTGCCTCCAAATATGGTTTGAATCAGAAGGTGGCATATGCTGAAGTTGAAGAGGATATCAAAAGTGGATCTTACGGGGGGATGACCTGAAGGCCCGAGTTCTATTGTACCTTGTCGGGATATTTCTTTGTCCAACAGGTGATACATCAACGAACAAGGACGATATGAAGCTCATTTGCGATGAAGGCTTGAAGGGTGAATTCAATTGGGGTGAATTCAACTGGGCTGAATATGTCCATTCGAGATTGATTGAATCAATAATCACCTTTCAAAAGGGCAGTCAGAGATACCTCAAAGGGTGCATAACAATCTTAGAGGTAACTGAGTTGAAGAATGTTTTTGTTTTTTATATAAAATGATAGTATAGTTATTATATAAAATGATAACTTTTATTATAAATGCAGGTTGCACTATTCAATTTTTGGTCGGGCTGTGATAGTTTGTCGGCTTATGAAAGAAACGGAGTGGCACGCATCCGTGCATGGGGGAAGGAAGAGGTGGTTAGAGTGATGGCGAAGTTGAAGTTGGATAGACTAAGGAAGCTAGAAATGGTAATAAATGTAATTAAATAATATTAAGAATATAATCAATGTCTTAATACAAATTTAATTTTGAAGGTTATTGTCAAGGAGTTAAAGGAGGTAGAGGAAGCAAATGAGGCAGTGGAGAAGGAAGAAGAGATGGTTGGAGGGGTGGATGACGGTAGGGGGATTACGGTGAGGGAAAATAGAGTAAATTCGATATTTTGATGTCTGAATTGGCTGATATTAAAAAAATCCTTTTTGATATTCATCAAAGACAATCAAGAGATGAAGAGACACTTGAGAGGCATAAGGGGAAAGTGGAAGGAAATGTAGATGTAGTGGTGAATGAAGTTGAGGTGTTGAGGGAACTTAATCTGTTGACGGGTGGAAAATTGATGTAGTTGTCAAGGAGGTTGTGGAATTGAGGAGTGAACTTACGGGGCTGATGGAGGTGGTTGAGAAAAACTTGGATGAATGGGGGAAAATGAAGGGTGAAATAAAAGAGATGAAGAGCTATGTAGAGAAAAAATATGATGAACTGAAAAAATTTGAAGAAGAGAAGATGGAGGAAGAATAAAAGATGGAGGAAATGAGGAGAAAGGATGTCACTAACATCTATACACCGGAGAGTGTTATAGATGCAGATTTGGATTCGGAATGTCCTGCACCCCATAAGAAGAAGCAGAAGGTAAGTTGAATAAAAGAAAACTTAATTTGATTTTTATCATGTTGTTGTGACTAAAATTTGTATGCAAAACTGTAGGTTGAAAAAGCGGTTATTCCAAGCGGAATTGAACCGGTCGAAGCTACAATTTGTGATTATTTATGGAATAGGGGGTTAGAATCGGAGTAAGTTAAATATATTACTTTGTGAGTGATATTTAAATATTTCATGACAATATATTAATCCTAATGATTTATACAGATGTTCTGTAATCTCAAAGGGAAATCAATACGCTAGTGTATCCGACGTTGCAACGTTGAAGCCTAGTGAATGGGTTGGCGGTGTGGTAAGTAGACATCAATTAAAAGTTAAAACCTATTGAATATATTCTGATTGTGTAATTAATTTTGTTAGGTTATTGATTTGCTCGCCTGGACAGTATGCTACGATTCTAAAAAGTCAGGCCGGATGATTGGCTACATTCCATACCACTTAGCGGTGAGTTAAATTAATAAATGTTGAAAACTAATGTTATAGACGGTAAATTAATAATGATTGTCACGTAATTGCAGCAACAGGCGTTGGACAATGTATGTATTGAGGGTATTGCGAGTTTTTGGGGTCTCATGTTGTATAACTATGTGGAATTCACCAATTGTGAGAAGGTAAGACACCAT